GAAGTTATGTTATAATAGCACTGTGCAGGATCGCCTTAGGAGGAGGAGCAAAGAGACCGACAGGACGAGTTAATATTGTTAGATACATCCTTCATATCAGAGACTGGAAATCGGCTGCTTAGGAAGACTGGTGACTGATGTTACGTGAGGCCATGGCCTCATGTGGACTGTAGCGCTTTAAAATGATTATGATGATTATATAAAATTACTTCATAGATTGATTTAACTTTTTTGGACCACTTAAGTTGATTTGGTGTTTCATAAGCGGTATTTTCATTTAAAACACAAGATAACAAATTGTTATTATTGATTATTTGTAGTGTCTTCGACATCAGTGAATATTTAATGACTAAAGGCTTTCATAAGTTAATGGACGCCGTTCCATCATATTAGAGATTTCGGAGGGCACAGTCTTTTCTGTTCAAGATGGCGCATGGTTTCTATTTCCTCTTCTGCTGTTGCCATAACCTCTCCTATAAGCTGCTGATCACAGCAATTATCGCCTTAGATTTGTTCTGTACGTTATTTATTTGCTTTGATATGCCTCCATACACAGATGAATACAATTTCTTGACAGGCAATGTCATAGCGAATGTAATGGTACGCCTACAGATCATAAGTGGTCTTTGTAATGTTGTTGTAACATGCATCTGGTTCCAATTGAACAAAACCATCATCTCTGATGTTAATGTTAACATGAACCTTCTGGGTGTTCATATCCTATCAGATCATATCAGTGATGCCTCCGGTAGGAATTGTTTTCTAGAAATATTAGCAGTTTATCTAATTGTGATTATTCTTAGTGTGTTGAAATTTATATTCACTGTGACAGATTGGACACAACTGATTTTGCAGATATCTTTCATCATTAATTCTTCCTTCATCTATGGTTGCACTGGTCTTTTGAGCTGTTCGCTCCTCCAGTTAGGTTCCTACTACAGCGATTTTATACGCTTTAATAAATATGAGGACTCTGTTTTGAGGTACCATCGTATCTCGAGGATATTCGAAAAAATATGCCATTTGTTCAAAGTGCCCATGTTCTTCATAATTAGCTGGAGTTTTCTCTTTAGTATGATTGATCTTTACATATTTTTTAACCCTAAACTACCTAATGTCTTTTGGGACAATCTACTCTTAGTTTTGTACATCACATACTTTCAATATCCAGTGTTGATGGCGATTCGATCTTTTAACGACTTAAACAAAAAGGTAATAGGTTTACATTAAATATATTATATCGCCGGCACCATGCTAAAGTAACATATGTGAGCGTCTTTAACGCTGATTATTCGTTACTATAACATGGTACCGACGATCTATACTAAATATACTTAGCTAAAAAGACATCTGATTACTTTAATTCCATTTACTATCATTGTATTGAGTTGAAAATTAAGTCCTTCCGGTTTTGTGGTTATTTTTATTCACTATGATATACTTCTTATCTGATGAATTCATCCCTAAGGTGAATTGTTCATCCTGTTTGTAATATGTCAACAACTATATTTGTTAACTCTTGTTGAAACTAGCTTAGTATTGTGTTTCCTATTGCAGTGTGAATACGGAAGAAAATATCATTATTCATTATCGGCATATTTTTTTGAATTATTTTAAAAAAGGTAAGCGTGTTGCAGAAGTTCATAGAAAATTGGTTTGCCAAATTTCATTTAGGAAATTTTGACATCAACGATGCACAACGGTCTGGTGGCCCACATAAAATTGAAACGAGCAATGTTAAGGCCATTCTTGATCAGAATTCCACAAAGCTTAGAAAACCATTTGCACAAGCTCGGCAATGTTTCCAGATTCAATGTTTGGGTCCCTAACATTATTTTTTCTCGACAATCGCAGACATTTAATAACTTCAATACGACTTTAGCTATCTACAAGAAATTTAGCAGGAATTTAGGGAAACATAAACTACACAAAAATACATCAACAGGACCTTCGTAAACAAAAGCTTTCCAACGGATATAGTAACATCGAATTTCGAGAACATCCTGAAGAGTTATGAATGATCGGAAGGGTGTTGTGTTCCACCAAGAGAATGCGACAGAACCCACCAAAAGAAAGACCCCACACGTCATTGGTCACTCGCAATAAATTATTGATCCTTGGATGGGACTTTTTGCCACCTACCTAACCTATTAACCAGACCTCGTGACTACCACTTTTTCCGGTATCTGCAGAACCGCATGAATGGAAAGAAATTCCAAAAGGAAGAGGACATAAAAAACCACTTGGATCAGTTTTTTTTAACCATATATAAAGTGGAAATATGGAAAAAGTCGTATTAAATAATAATAATTATTATAATGAATAAATAATGAATCATTATAAAAAAAATCTGGCGCGTGAAACTTTCATTTACCACTCTACTTTGAATAGAAATTATTTTCTGGCAATATTGGGCTGTTATAAGATTTTTGAAATGCATCTTTAACCGAGCTAAAGCTTAAAGCTTACAGCTTAATCATTAATACCATTAAAATAACAAATATCCTATTTATAATATCACTGGGTGATTATGGGATGGAAGATCCGTTGATTATAAATTGTATGAATATTACTTATTAAACTGTTATTTTCCATTGCAAAGTTTACTAAAATGGAATTATAGTCAAAAGTTGGCACACTGATTGTGAGGGGATTCTGTTGAGATATCACAAAGGGAAAATTCATCAAATTATTCACTAATTTATTTATAAAAGTTTACATGATTTTTTCGGAATAAATAAATATAAACATTGGGCATTTAAGCCCTGTTAAGCGACATCAATGGGCATAAGACCATAATCATATTAAAGACCACTTAATTATACATTGATACACGGAGTTTTAATCGAAATAGTTAGAGCTGTTTTTTTTAGAAAATCGTGGATATAAAGTGCCACTTCTGTTTAGCCGAATTTGACGTTCAAAGTTGCTGTAACATCGCATGTATATACCCAGCTATATAATTTCAGTTTCGTACGACTTAGTCCTGAGTACCAGGGAGAGGAAAAGCTCAGTGGTAGGGCACTAAGCTTCCTATGCTCAAGATCCCAGGTTCGAATCCCGGTCGATGGCAGAAAAATTATTAATTTTGTTTAATTGGCCGTGGTGCGATTCTTGGGTATTGAGACCTTCCTGGGGCATACCCAGCCTCTACAAAGTGGGTACCCTTAATTAAATAGTTGATTAAGGGGGGAAAACCTGGCTGTTGAGAGTGATCCTGGCCCGATCCCCTCCATGCACAACCTAATTTAGTTACCTTTTCTGAATCCAGTTTTCTGGGAAGCTATGTAATAATTTGAAAGGAGCGATATTTTCATTTTAAGTAGTGGGTAAGTAATTGCTATTACTAATTCTCTCCTGAGTGGTGACATCGACAAACGTAAATATTTATTAAATAAAACCTTTCATTAGGAAATGGACGCTACTCCACATTAGTCATATCAGAGTACACAGTCTTGTTCGTTCAGGATGGAGAATGTCTTCAGCTTTATCTTAGTTTGCAAGGATAAACTCTTCTACAAGTTGATGATTATAACATTAATCGTCTTAGATCTGGGCAGCACAGTTTATATTTTCCTTGATCTTCCTCCGTTACCAAGGCGATACGACTTCTTAGCGGGAGACCGAGCAATAATTTTAATGACATTATTACAGACATATGGTGGTTTTAATAATGCAATTATATCAATTATTTGGTTCCTCTTCAACAAAGATATTTTTTGTAATATTGAGGTTGAATTGAACCTTCTGGGTGTCAAACAAATTAGTGACCCATCAGTTACGAAGTGTTCAAAACAAATGTTAACAGTTTTCCTAACTTTCTTCATATACAGTGTGTTCTTGTTTGTATTAAACTGGACAAGTTGGACACAAATGGCCCTATCAACAACCTACTTCATCAACTCCATTTTCGTCTATGTCTGCAGTTGCATTTTGAGCTGTTCTCTTCTCCAATTAGGTTCCTTCTACAACGATTTCATGCGCCTCAATAAATACGAGGACTCTGTCTTAAGGAACAAAAGTATCTCTACCATTTTCGAAAAAATATGCCATTTGTTCAAACTTCCCATGTTCCTCATAATCAGCTGGAGCTTCATCCTTACTTTGTGTAATCTCTACGTTTTATTTAATTCTTTACGAGCTGATCTTTTCTGGAGTAATGTATTTGTTTGCTCATCCATAGTATTCTTTCAGTACCCAGTTTGGATGGTGATTCGATCCTGTAATGAATTAAACAAGAAGGTAATTATCAAGGTTTCCAATTATCATATTCTCTCAAACTTCATATTTAGCCATTTTTTTATAGTTACTGTCAATAAAAGAGACTTCTTTTTTATTAATAAACCATATTAAATGTACTTTAGAATAATGCGTTAAAGATATTAAAGACTACTTAATTATACAATGATACATCGAGTTTAATAAAATCGTTGGAGCCGTTTTTGAGAAAATTGTAAAAATGTGTTTCACCGTTAAGATAAAGTGGAACTTCCGGTTAGCCGATTTTAAGAAAAAAGTTGCTAGGACATCTAAAGCATATACCTATCATAATGACATAATATCAGTTTCATACGAATTTTCGTTTTTGAGCTAGACTGTTAGTTAACATACACACACATAGACCATTTTGCGGGACTTGGTTATTCGGACTCAGGAAATCTCAAAAGATGTATTTCCTTTGAAAACTCAGATTCGAAAATTTTCATGTTCGCAATAGTTTCCCTTACTATATATTACATACATAGATAAGTGAAAGTAAAATGTACTTGTTAATGTTGGAAAATCGATATGAATGTAATCTTACTTTACAAACCATATGTTTCTTTGGATCACTTATGTTTATTTGATAATATGTGCGGTGTTTTTATTACAAATATTGTATAAATATTGACTTCGACATGAATAAATATACAATGAAAGCTTTCATTAGGGAATTGGCGGTGGTCCGCAATAGGTATTTAAAGTCTTGTAGGCAGAGTTCACAGTCTGGTTTGCTCATAATGGAGAATGTCTTCAGCTACCTCTCCGTTTGCTACCACAGGCTCCCCTACAGGTTGTTAATCCTAGGATTAGTCGCCGTGGATTTGCTCTGCACGGTGTATGTAACCTTTGAGCTTCCTCCGTTCACGGGAGGATATAACTTCCTAACGGACGACCGTGTAGTAGTTATGATCAGAGGACTACGACTGCATGGTGGTTTTATTAATGTCATTATCTCAATTATTTGGTTCCACTTCAACAAAGATATTATCAGTAATGTCGAGGTTGAATTAAACCTTCTGGGTGTCAACTTTGTAAATGGTGCTGCAGTTACGAGGTGTTCAAACGAAATTTTAATGTTTTTTCTATTTTTCGTCACAGCCAATTTGTTGTACTTCATATTAAACTGGGAATATTGGGCACAAGTGGTAATGTTGACAATCTACTTCATCAACTCTTCCTTTGTCTTTGGCTGCTGTGGTCTCTTGAGCTGTTCGCTCCTCCAATTAGGTTCCATCTTCAACGAGTTCTTGCGCTTCAATGAATATGAGGACTCTGTCTTAAAGTACGAGCGTATCTCAAATATTTTCGAAAAGATATGCCATTTGTTCAAGCTACCCATGTTGCTCATTATCACCTATAGCTTTATCCTTAGTTTATATAATCTCTACATCTTTTTTAATTCTTTGCAATCTAATCTTTTCTGGAATAATTCATTTCTTTTATTTTGCACCTTATACTATCAGTATCCAATTTTGATGGTGATCCGATCCTACAATGAATTGAACACGAAGGTAATTGTGGAATAGAAATAATAAAGTACAATTTTCAAGTTTTCAGGTACGATAACTGCAACCCTCAGATTCAAGTACAGTTATAGTTCTGTCTCGATACATTATTATATAATATTATAGAATTTTAATTAAAGTAGTTTTTATTAAGGAATTGGACCTACTACAGCGAGGGTTAGATTCCCGTATGTTACCGTCCCCACCCTGAGATTCACAGGAAAGCAACCTCTATCTAATAACATAGCTCCTTTGGCCAGATTTTAAGTTAGCCAAGTTCAAGTTTTTATTAAGTTTGTTTATTGTTTATGTTTATAACACCAACAAATTTTTTTCTTTTCTCCAGGTTTTGATTATTCTTCCTATATATATTATATGTATTTTTTTGTTTTCGATTCGCCAGTTACAACTATAACGAGTATTGAAAGGCCAGATATGTAACTTTTTGGTTTATTATTTTCAATAATGAACCATTGTGATCGAACAAAAAATTAACCCCCTCTCAAAATTTGAGATTTTACGTTTCAGGATACGTAGAATTCGAAAAACGAATACAGTTTTTGTCCGTCCGCCGGCCGCCGTTGCGCATTTTCTCCGAAACAACTGAACCGATTTTTTTCAAATTTGGATTAAAAATTACAGTCACCCGATGATGATTCTCCTTCATCGACATTTCCATGTGCCTTTTCCTTTCAAGATGGCGACCGGAAAACCAGCGTAGCTATAGACTGCGCCTAAACTGTTTTCAATGAAACTTCGCTCTTCTTGACGACCTTTAAATTTATATAAATAACATGCTTCAACGAAAAGAAGCTGGAAAAAAAGTTACGAGAGATTCCGTATAACTCAAAAAGTATACACTTTTTTTGTTGATATTGTATTATTTTATATTTTAGAATTTGTATTAAGTTATTTTTTATTAAGGATTTAGACCACTAAGGGTTCTATTCCTATATGGGGACGGCAACGTCACTACCCTAAGATGAAGAGAAGTTGTTCATCATTGTTATTCTGAGACGAAAGGATAAAGTCTCTTTTTTATTTCTAGTTCTATTAATATAGATAGCAAACAGTGGGGAACAGAGACGTACCCTGAGGGACGCCATTGGTGAGGGGAGCATCTGTGATCTAGGATGACCTGGGACGACCACATACTTGTGATCGATCTGAGAGGAAGATATCTCAATTACGTGATTGGGGTCATATGAAAGTAATCTTACATTCCAAACCTAATATTCCTTTTTAACAAATTATGTTTATTTCATAACAGAAGCGGTGTTTTTATTTTAAATATTGGATAAATAGTGACTTCGACATGCGTAAATATTCAACGAATAAAGACCTTTCATTAGGTAATTGACACTGGTCAACCTGAGCCATTTTAAAGTAACAGCCTGGTTAGTTCAGGATGAAGAACGTCTTCAGCTTTCTCTTAGCTTGTTACAATAAATTCTCCTACAGGTTGTTGATCATAACATTAATGGGCTTGGATTTGTTCTGCACGGTGTATGTTACCAGCAATCTTCCGCCGTTCTTGGGAGGATACAAATTCTTAACATATGACCGTGTAGTAATTGCAATGAGACGACTACGACTGTATGGTGGTTTAATTAATGTCATTATCTCTATTATTTGGTTCTACTTCAACAGAAATATTATCAGCAATGTAGAGGTTGAATTAAACCTTCTGGATGTTAACCTTGTAAGTGGTGCTGCAGTTAGGAGGCGTATAAACGAAATTTCAATAGTTGTTCTATTTTTAACCACAATCAGTTTGTTATTCATCATACTAAACTGGGAAACTTTGGCACAACTGATGATGGTGACGGTCTATTTCATCGACTCTTTCTTTGTCTTTGGCTGCTGCGGTTTTTTGAGCTGTTCGCTCCTCCAATTAGGTTCCTTCTTCAATGACTTCATACGCTTCAATAAATATGAAGACTCTGTTTTAAAATGTCTACGTATCTCAACAATTTTCGAAAAAGTATGCCATTTGTTCAAACTTCCCATGTTCCTCATTATCAGCTGGAGTTTTATCCTTAGTTTGTTTAATCTCTACGTCTTATTTGCCTCTTTACGGCATGATTTTTTCTGGACCAATTTATTTATTTTCTTTTGTGTCGTATACTATCAGTATCCAGTTCTGATGGTGATTCGATCCTGTAATGAATTGGACAAGAAGGTAACTGCAAAAATGATGACAATGAAGTACAATTTTCAAGTTTTCAGGTACAAGGCCGTAACCGAATCCCTCAAGGTGCAGTTACAGTTTTGTCTATGTTGTTTATATTTATATTAATTTAGATAGCAAAAAGAGAGCGAAATACACACGTATACAGAGGGACGCCGTTGGTGAGGGTAGTGTCTATGATGGATATTGACGTAGGACGAAGACATACTTTTGATTCTGAGAGGAACGAATCTCATGTTTGTGGTTGAAAAGCTTATGATTCGAACATAATAACCGCGCCCTTCGTCCAAAAAGGCCTGCGTTGGTTCAAATCATTCCTCTCAGATCGATCACAAAGACGTGGTCGTCCCAATTTATACTTCTTCACAGACATTCCCCTGACCGATGGCGTCTTTGAGGGTTATTATCCAAGGCAAGAAGAAGAAAATACGGAGTATTATTAAGAACAATTGTAGACAACTGGCCACGTTGGCAACTTAAATCATGAACCAGATAAATTAATATAATAAAAAATAATTACAGTATCGCGTCCCGATGCCAGAGGGATTTTTTTTAAATCTGGCATTATTCCTACGTCCTCTCCCTTGGCCCGGAAAACCCCCGTATAACGTAAAAGTAGAGAAAGGGTTAAGAAAAAAAAAAATCCTACATCAACTCTTTCTTCATTTATAGTCATTTCATAGTCTTTTAGGCAGAGGTTATAGTCATCCTTATTCAGGATGAAGAATGTCTTCAGCTTTCTCTTAGCTTGTTACAATAAACTCTCCTACAGATCATAAAATTAATCGCCTTTGATTTGTTCTGCACAGTGAATGTTGCATTGGACTTATCACTATTCTAATTAATTGTCTTTTATAATGAAGTCTTAACGTATCGTCTTGGAAGCAAACATAACAGAGAATAGCTCGAAATCTATTGATGGGTTAACTGGAAAGACCATCTTACTTTCAAGTACTGAAAACATCGAATCTACTACACTGCATTCCTGATTACTATGATTCAGGAAATTATGTAAAAAGTCCTTGTTAATACTGAAAAATCGATATATACGTAATCTTACTTTACAAACCATATGTTTCTTTGAGACCACTTACGCTTATTTGATAACATTATCAGTGTTTTCATTTCTAATATTATATAAATATTGACTTCGACATGCGTAAATATATAATGAAACTTTTCATTAGGTAATTGACGGTAGTCCGCAGTAGTCATTTCATAGTCTTGTAGGCAGAGTTTATAGTCTTCCTTGTTCAGGATGAAGAATGTCTTCAGCTTTCTCTTAGCTTGTTACAATAAACTCTCCTACAGGTTGTTAATCATAACATTGATCGGCTTGGATTTGTTCTGCACGGTGTATGTTACCTGTAATCTTCCGCCGTTCTTGGGGAGATACAACGTCTTAACGGAAGACCGTGTAATAGTTGCAATGAGAAGACTGCGATTGTATGGTGGTTTCAGTAATATCGTTATGTCAATTATATGGTTCCACTTCAACAAAGATATTATCTGTAATGTTCGGGATGAATTAAACCTTCTGGATGACAACCTTATATGTGGTGCTGCAGTTAGGAGGCGTTTAAACGAAATTTCAATAGTTTTTCTAATTTTAATCACAATCAGTTTGTTGTACTTCATATTTAACTGGGCAAGTTGGACACAACTGACGATGTTGATAATCTACTTCATCAACTCTTCCTTTGTCTTTGGCTGCTGTGGTCTTTTGAGCTGTTCGCTCCTCCAATTGGGTTCTTTCTTCAACGATTTCTTGCGCTTCAATAAACATCAGGACTCTGTCTTAAAGTACCAGCGTATCTCTACCATTCTCGAAAAAATATGCCATTTGTTCAAGGTACCCATGTTCCTCATTATTAGCTGGAGCTTTATCCTTACTTTGTGTCACTTCTACGTTCTATTTAATTCTTTACGATCTAATCTTTTCTGGAGTAATGTAATTCTTTTCTTATCCAGCTTATACTTTCAGTATCCAGTTGTGATGGTCATTCGATCCTGTAATGAATTGAACAAGAAGGTAACTGCAAAAATACATGATGTACAATTTTCAAGTTTTCAGGTACAAATCCTTAACCGAAACCCTCAAGATTCAAGTACATTTACAGTTTTGTCTCGATATATTGTTTATATTTATATTAATATAGATAGCAAAAAGAGTGGGGAATAAAGACGTATACTGAGGGACGCTGTTAGTGAGAGTAGTGTCGTGTCTATGATGAATGACGACAACATACTTTTGACTGATCTGAGAATAACGAATCTCAAGTTTGTGGTTGAAAAGCGTTTGCCACATTCCATCATAACATCTTCGTCCAAAACGGTTGGTTCAAATCTTTCCTCTCAGATAGATTACAAGTATGGTCGTTCAAGTTCACTCTCATTTACAGTTACTCCCCTCACTTATGGCGTCCCTCAGATTACATTTGTAAGGCTGTTTTCGAAGACAAAAAAATAATGCCGAGTATCATATAAGAACAATTTTAGATTTGTAACGAAATGGGAAGACAGGATTTTATTAGTTTTACAGGAATATTGAAACGATCATAACCATTGGCGTGGTATTTTAGTGCAGTGGTCAGTAATCCATTGTAAAATACGTGTAATAAAAAGAATTTGTTTGAGTTGAAACAGTAATATGTTCAATACGGTAGTAGTAGAATAGATAGGAGAAAACGATAGGAGATTATTGTTGAGTTCAAATGTGAAGTAGCTGAGATTTTTTGGTTCTGGAACATTAGAGAGAAAATTGTGCAAGTAGAGGGATTTATCACGTACTGAAGATTTAATTCAATTCCGAAGTTCATTCAAAGATGCATAACCATATGGCAAGCGGGTTTAACGATATTTGTTAATCCTTTCATCATTGTTTTATTTCAGACAACGAACAGTAGACCGGTGAATATATTGACTTAATATAAGGGTAAGAATATCTAATATAGATTTTAAGTTTGAGGTAATCATAGTCATTAGAATTATAAGAATATATGATGTCTCATTAGACCTTTCATATTTTACATCCATTATATTGTTATATTTATAACTCGAAATCTATTGGTGGGTTTACGGGAGAGACCGTCTTACCTTAAAGTACTCAAAATATCGAATCTACTACACTGCATTTTTGATTTAAGGGTATGGTCCGTGATACAGACCCCTTTTTATCGAATTAGTTTCATCTCATCATAAACTATTTTATTCAAGAAAACTCTTGGGATAGGGGCATTTTCAATCTGGAGGGGGAGGGGCAAACTTTTTCTATTTAATTAGATACTAAAAACTCGTAAATACTCATTTGCTTTCTACTTCGATCGAAAGGTGATTTGAACACAAAATCGAGAAAAAATGTGGCCTACAAAAATATTGAGGCGTTTGGCGTGAAATACACCCCCAAATTTTTAAAATAACGAGGTTTTATTGGGCAATTTTAATTTATTTATTCTTGGCGCTACGGTCCTGTAAGAACCTGGGCCTCTCTTATGATCCTTCACCACTCTCCTCTATCCCGAGCGAGCATTCTCCACCTTCGTATTCACATCCTTTTCAGGCTGTCCTCTACCTGTTCCAGCCATCTTAGGCGTGTTCTACCTCTTCCACGTTTTCCGGCAGGCCGATCCTCTAGCAAGCATTTGTGAATGGCGTCTGAACCATCTGATCTGGTTTTCCTTCACAATTGAGACCAAATCCTTGCATACATATCATGCAGCTCTTTATTAGTGTGAATTCTCCATTGTCCCTGTCGCACACCGGGCCATAGATCCTGCGGAGAACTCTTCCCTCACATGCGAGTGCCTTTCTTCGGATGCTTTGAAGATCACCCAAGTCTCACCCAAGCCATATTTGACGACGGGTCTGATGACTTTCTCATGCACCGTGATCTTTGTTCTGTGAGAAAGAGATCTGTAATTTAATATTTTTCGCAATGCAAAACAGCACCTATTACCGGCAGCCATCCTTGCTTTTAATTCTTCCACCATTTCATTGTTTTCTGTTATTAGAGCTCCCAAAGCTTTCGAATTCTTCTAATGCCCCCGCTAATGATGTTTTATTTTTTGCCGTTATTACGACATCATCAGTATAAGCCAGATGCTGTGTCATTCTATTATAAATTGTGCCACCAGGATATGTCCGGATCGCCCTTATTGCATACTCTAAAGCAATATTAAATAGGTATGGGATAAAGGATCTCCTTGCCTAAGCCCATCTTTCACCTCGAAATCCTCCGACAATTGGCCATTAATTTTCACAACTGATCTAGTAGATTATTATTATTACTACCGCTTAGGGTCGTTCTTGTCAAAGTGACCAGTTTTTTGGAAATCCTAATTTTGTCATTAGCTTCAGTAATTCTCCTCAGCTTATAGTATCATAAGCCTGTTTAAAATCTATGAAAACGTGATATAAGTCCATTTGCCTAGTTGAGAAAATGTGATCTATAGTTGATTTACCATTTCTAAAACCACACTGGTATTTACCCAAAACCTTCTCGGACCAAATTCGAACTTTTTTATTCAACAGAACTGCAAATACTTTGTATACTCTACAACATAACGATGAAATACCTCTATAATTGTCTCAGTTTGTTTTTTCTGTTTTTTTGAAAATAGGGCATAAGATAGCAGTAGTCCATTATTTAGGCATTTGTTCCGTTATCCAGACTTCCATCACTAGGTTGTAGATCTCTCTTAACAAAGGCGATCCGCAATTCTTTACCATCTCCGCACCTATACTATCCAGACCAGGACATCTATTATTCTTCAATGCGGCTATTACATCTAAAAAATCTTCATACTCTGGAGGCTCTACATCACTGTTGTTAACTTCCTCCTGGCCCACTCTAGGGAAGTTTCGCACTACACTATTTGGGATTGGTTGTTGAATATTTAATAAATCATTAAAATAGACTTTCCACCACGTCTCCAGGATTTTTGATGGATCGCTGATAAGTTCACCCTTCTTATTTTTGTATATTGTCATTTTGGGTTGGAAACCATTCTTGAATTTCTTCACGCCTTTGTAGAATTTTCTCGTAAGTTTTAAATCAAAATCGCTTTGGAGAAAGTCAAGTTTGCTTTTTTTAAAACTTCTCTTCTTTTGCCTCCATATCTTCTTTGCGATCATTTTCATTGAGCTATTCTCCTGCCTACTTCTTGTACCCACAGTAAGCATTCTCAATCTAACTTCTTTTCTATCCCTAAGTGCTCGGTCGCATTCATCATCGTACAATTCCTTGTTCGCGCTTATCTGTGTTGTCTTTAATATCACTTCGGCCACTTCGTTTAAAGATGATTTAATTCTTTCCCAACAACAATTTACTTCCTTATTTTCATCATACCTCTTTGGAAATGATTCCTGAACAATTTCTTCAAAATTTTCAGCTTTATGAGGTATTTTTAAAATTCCGCTTTGGTACCTGATAGTTCTTTTCCCTTTTATTCGGAAATTGTATTCTATTCTCTGTCTGTAAGGTACTTTAACCAAGAAACCGCTCCTCGATAACCTCTCACGTCATCTATGTCAGAACAGTGTCTAGAATCAATGAGAACGTGATCAATTTGATTTCTACTTTTTTCCGTCTGGGGATGTCCAGGTTTCCTTATGTATTTCTTTATGACGGAAATTGTACTTTTGATCACCATACCTTTTTCATGTGCAAACTCTATACTTCTAATTCCATTTTCATTTGATAGTTTATGTTTACTAAACATACCGAGCCTTATTAAACATTTTACTAAACATAGTTGGCCAAAAGACTTATTCTTTTCCAATTTTTGCATTCAAGTCACCCATAACTATTTTAACATCGCGGTGAGGTAACAAATCATATTCTTAGTAGAGTTTTGCATAGAAGTAGTCCTATTCTTCCTCTCCACTGTCCTCTGTTAGAGCATGTACACTGATAATAGAAATATTAAATAATTTTCCTTTTAGTCGAATCACACATATTCTTTCTGAAACAATCTTGTATCCCAATAGTAAATACTTCAGAGATTTCCTGATCATGAAGCCCGTTCCCAGAATATTCCATTCGTGTCCACTGTTTTGTTATCATATATGATTCCAAATCCATTATTTCCTTTCCTCTCCATTTTATCTCCTGAAGCGCCATAACGTCCACACCGTATTAAAGCAATATATAGGACAAATGGCCCAATATTTTTGTAAGCCACCTTTTTTTCTCGACTCTGTGATCAAATCACCTTACAATCCAAGTAAAAAGCAAATGAGTATTTAGGAGTTTTTAGTAGCTAATTAAAAATAGACAAAGTTTGCCCCCCTGCAGCGAGTAACCGCCCCAATTCCCAGAGTTTTCTTAAATAAAATAGTTGTAGGTTACGATGAGATGAAATTACTTACGAAGTTTCAGGCGGATGTTGATAATTCGACAAAAACGATAAATACCACGGACTATATTATGACTAAGGAAAGTATGTAAAAAGTCCTTGTTAATATTGAAAAATCGATATGAATGTAATCTTAATTTACAAACCATATGTTCCTTTGAACCAGTCATGTTTATTTGATAATAAGTGCGGTGTTTCATTTCAAATATTGTATAAATAGTTACTTAGACAGGCGTAAATATATAATGAAACCTTTCATTAGGGAATTGACGCTGGTTCGCAATAGGTATTTTAAAGTCTTGTAGGCAGAGTTCACAGTCTGGTTTGTTCATAATGGAGTCATAATGGAGAATGTCTTCAGCTTCCTCTCCGTTTGCCATCACAAACTCCACTACAGGTTGTTAATCCTAGGATTAGTCGCCGTGGATTTGCTCTGCACGGTGTATGTAATCTGTGAGCTTCCTCCATTCACGGGGGGATACTACTTCTTAACGGACGACCGTGTAGTAGTTGCAATGAGACGATTAAGATTGTATGGTGGTTTCAGTAATATGTTTATCTCAACTATTTGGTTCCACTTCAACAAAGATATTATCAGTAATGTCGAGGTTGAATTAAACCTTCTGGGTGTCAACCTTATAAGTGGTGCTGCAGTTAGGAGGTGTTTAAACGAAATTTCAATAGTTTTTCTATTTTATATCTCAACCAGTTTGTTATACTTCTTATCAAGCTGGGCATTTTGGACACAACTGACGATGTTGATAATCTACTTCATCAACTCTTCCTTTGTCTTTGGCTGCTGTGGTCTCTTGAGCTGTTCTCTTCTCCAATTGGGTTCCTTCTTCAACGATTTCTTACGCTTCAATAAACATCAGGACTCTGTCTTAAAGTACCAGCGTATCTCTACCGTTCTCGAAAAAGTATGCCATTTGTTCAAACTTCCCATGTTCCTCATTATCAGCTATAGCTTTATCCTCAGTCTGTTCAATCTCTACATCTTGTTTAGCTCTTTACGACCTAATCTTTTCTGGACCAATGTATTTCTTTTCTTTTGTGTCGTATACTATCAGTATCCACTTTTGATGGTGATTCGATCCTGTACTGAATTGAACAAGAAGGTAATTGCAAAACTGATGATAATGAAGTACAACTTTCAAGTTTTCAGGTACAAAGCCGTAACCGAAACTCTCAAGATTCAAGTACACTTACAGTTTGACGCGATACATTGCATGGGTATTTATGATAAGTAGGCGAACGAGGACCGATATTAGTGGGATAGTGGGAAAAAGAGACATACCCCGAGGGACGCAATGGGTCTGTGATCGAGGTTGACTTAAGAAGACATACTTGTGACCGATCTAAGAGGAAGGTATCGCAAGTATTTGATGTTGGTGGTTTGCAACCTAAAGAAACTCAGTACCAGGTAGGACTCCCCATTGATTCCAGAGTCAAGGAGTATAATCGACATTTTTCCGACGTGTCTTAGAACATTTTATTTGTGACAAAGTAAGGAGCGTTGAGGATTTTACGAAGGATTTTGGATTGTAAGAATTAGATATGAGAGGAATTCGATGATTTAGTGAAGCCACAAAGCTCAATTCCGTCAGTCCAGATTGGCCTTATAGTCATGCGTATGAGTCGTTAGTAATATACAGGAAGTTTAGAGCGTTTATCTAGTAAGTGCTGGAGTAGTCGAAAATGTCGAGCAGAACATTTTCTTGTCGTTTGAGTCTTGTATGAAGATTTCAAGTGTGTTGTAGGGACGCCAACTAGTAATTATTTTATCATTAACTATGGTTTACCCACTGGGCCACTCGCTCCAATATCACTAGGACATATTTTCGGGATACGATATACGAGTATTATGCGTTATGTATTTACACATCCAAGCAAGATCCAGTACTTGCTTGCAAAATAAAATAAAATTACTGGTTTTTCAATAGATTACCGTTCCTATGGACCACTTAACACATGACAGAAATTCGACATTTCGCAAACTGTCACCAACAACCAAACGACGAAATTTTTTTGATATTAAGGAAGATAATTGTTTCTTGGGGTTTGAAGGTGTAATATTTCAATGTCATCAACGCTTGTAAATTAATTTTGTTTATCTCTGACCTAAATTGAATTGATTCTTTTCTTAATTCTAAGCATTAAATTCTAATTTTTACCAGAGATAATTTTGTGAATGGTGGTGCAAAACATTACCGGACAAATAGCTGATAAGTCTATTTGATGATAGAACCGATGTTTTCCTATTAAACATTGACTTCAACACCCGTAAATATTTAATAAATAATGACCTTTCATCAGGTAATGGACGCTGGTTCGCATTAGTCATTTCGGAGAGCTCAGTAGAGTTTGCTAAGGATGGAGAATGTTTTAAGCATTTTCTTATATTGTAACCATAAACTCTTTTACGGGTTGTTGATTATTGCATTAATCGTCTTGGATTTATTCAGCACTATGTATATTTGTCTTGATTTTCCTGCAATACCCGAGGAATACGACTTCTTAGGAGGAGACCGGCTAGTAATTGTAATGTCCCAACTAGAGATGTTTGGTGGTTCTACTAACGTCATTATCTCAACCATCTGGTTCTACTTAAACAAAGATATTATCTCTAATGTTGAGGTTGAATTGAACCTTCTGGGTGTCAACCTTATTAGCGACGCCTCAGTTAGGAGGTGTTCAAAGGAAATGTCTATAGTATTAATATTTTATATCATAGTGGGTGTGTTTTTCTTCCTTTTTAGCTTTACTACAACTTGGTCACAAGTAGCCATGTTGACAGCCTACATCATTAACTCCACCTTCATCTATGGCTGCAGTGGGCTTTTGAGCTGTTCGCTTCTCCAATTAGGTTCCTTCTTCAATGACTTCATGCGCTTCAATAAATATGAGGACTCTGTTTTAAGGTACCAGCGTATCTCGAACATATTTGAAAAAATACTCCATTTGTTCAAGGTATCGATGTTCTTCATTATCAGCTGGAGCTTTCTCCTTTGCTTGTGTAATCTATACATTTTATTTAGCTTTTCATCACCAAATCTTTTCTGGATTGTTGGATTAATTCTCATATACATCCCATACTTTCAGTATCCAGTGGTGATGGTGATTCGATCCTGCAATGAATTAAAGAAGAAGGTAATAGCACAAAATAAATTTTTAAAATAACGAATGTACAAAGATTCATTTTATTCTTAACCTTTCCTGGCCATTTTGGGCATACGGAGGATGAGGTTATGTGTAGATTATGTGTTGGATAAAGAAATAATCTTCCAAAGTAAGTGAAATTAGAAGGCTCAATGGAAATTTGGGGCCACGTGCACAAGTAATTAATATTTCTGCAGATCGTGATGACTAGCGTGTTAGAGCGTTGTCCGTTTTGCATTCCCCTCGTATCTGATTGGAATCCTGGGCGGGTTAAAATGAATTTCGCGGCGGACCCTTGGAATAAATCTCGACCTTTCTACTCAGGTTAGAAAAAGTTAAGCTGTATCCTTAGAACAATGTTCGCGTATGGCAGAAATGGCGAGGTAGGGAGTATCCAATAACAGTATCTGATCAGGTACAGGATATCTAACTCGAACAATTTACGTTATCAATTGCTAAGTTGGGAAATAGTGTAATCAAATGATTCCACGAACTGCTGGTCAATCTATGTCTTCCACCATAAAAACAACCAGCACCAATTCAGTATCACATGTGGAACGGCTACAGACAGCGAATTGTACGCACAGCAGCAACTCTAGTCCAAGAACAAAAAACACAACATCCAACAGCTTGAGAACCATTCTTCGTCATCTTAACTGGCGCTATACTCCACGAGGAAACAATAGTAGTCATCGGATGGACCGAGTAGTATCCGTCAGCGCAGATCACGTCCAACAACATCCTTCCTCGGGATCTGATCATCGGTTATCTTTTCCACATTTCCCGTCCATCTTAATCGGCTTATCTTAATGGGTGGCGATGTTGGGGTTACTGTAAAGGGCCATCATTTTTGAATTAGGGTGTTGACTCCAACCATCAAATACCGTTCCAGAATAGTCTAGCATTCGAATCCACAGGTCAGCACGGGTCTGACCAGTGTTTTATATAAAAACACCAGGGTAGTTCTGAAAACATATGTGCTCTTAATTTGTGTCAGAAGATAGCACATATTTTCAGCCATTATTCGCTGATGGATTTCGAAATTATTATGGTTTCTGGAGTTAACATGGATTGATAGCTAGAGGAATGCTTCGACACTATTAAAATTTGAATGGCCAATATACAACTTACCGTCCCGCTGGCCTCAGCCAATAGGGTTCGTTTCATTAATAGGAAGTACGGTAACATTCTTGCGGTTTATTATTGTAGGTCCAGAAAGGCATTGCTCATTGCCTAAAAAGTTTTCCCAATCACAATAACGCTGTCTGCAACGGGGGCGTTAGACCGAATGGGCTAAAACGTGTGCACAGCACAGCGAGTTGCCCGGCAACCAGATAACCGAAGTTATGAAATTAAAAAAAGTTAGAGATGGGCGTTTCTGCTACCTAATTGAACGTAATAAAAAACATAAATGAACTGTTCCTTGACCAAAAACAACAGTTCTAAAGAACTATTAAAAAAAATATTTCATGGAACAACGCAACGATTCATAGAGTAATAACTTTTTCTTTAATAATAAGTCTGGAAATGAATGAATCGTTTTATGAATGAAGTTTGGCATTGTTCCAGCTTGGAATTGATAACCATTTTCATAATCATAACATTAATCGTTCTGGGCTGTATACGTTACATTTTTTAATTTTTCTCCGCTCATAAACGGACACAAATTTTGTGTGCGAATAATGGTGATATATATTTAATAGATATGTTTTCAATCGTAAAACAGATAGAACAATCCAAATTTTTAACAAATAAAAATATGTGTGAAGTTTACACAACTTTGACATTAAAGACAAGCTGGTTAAATTTTAATAGAAATAAACACAATCATAAATAAGACTTTTTATGAACTCAATTTAATTAAAAATTTTTAAAAATTAATGTAAATGTACTGAAGATTACACGAAATGTAAGTAACGGCAGTAACTGTCATGGAATCGACCAAACAATACAGTATAAATTAACTTTTTGAGTAAAACCTAAAATTTTTGACCCCATAATAATATTAACCATAATAATACTATTGAGCCCATAATATTGTATTAACCTAACTTCCACTCCGTATAATGAATATCTTTCATATTTCACAGTCATTATATTGTTAAAAAATTTACGAAAAATCTTACAATTGGGGAGTTTTCAACCTGGGCATACTTTGTCTATTTAATCATATACTAAAAACTCGTAAATACTCATTTCATTCTATTTCAATTGTAAGATAATTTGATCACGAAATCGATAATAGGTGACCTTTAAAAGCCGTTTGGCGTGAACTATATCCCCAAATTTTCAAAATAACGAGGTTATATAGAACAAACGGCCCAATATTTTTGTAGGTCCCCTTTTTTCTCGACTTGTTAATATTGAAAAATCGATATGAATGTAATCTTAAATAACAAGACATATGTTCCTTTGGACCAGTCATGTTTATTTGATAATAAGTGCGGTGTTTCATTTCAAATATTGTATAAATAGTTACTTAGACAGGCGTAAATATATAATGAAACCTTTCATTAGGGAATTGACGCTGGTTCGCAATAGGTATTTTAAAGTCTTGTAGGCAGAGTTCACAGTCTGGTTTGTTCATAATGGAGAATGTCTTCAGCTACCTCTCCGTTTGCTACCACAGGCTCCCCTACAGGTTGTTAATCCTAGGATTAGTCGCCGTGGATTTGCTCTGCACGGTGTATGTAATCTGTGAGCTTCCTCCATTCACGGGGGGATACAACTTCTTAACGGACGACCGTGTAGTAGTTGCAATGAGACGATTAAAATTGTATGGTGGTTTCAGTAATATGTTTATCTCAACTATTTGGTTCCACTTCAACAAAGATATTATCAGTAATGTCGAGGTTGAATTAAACCTTCTGGGTGTCAACCTTATAAGTGGTGCTGCAGTTAGGAGGTGTTTAAACGAAATTTCAATAGTTTTTCTATTTTATATCTCAACCAGTTTGTTATACTTCTTATCAAGCTGGGCATTTTGGACACAACTGACGATGTTGATAATCTACTTCATCAACTCTTCCTTTGTCTTTGGCTGCTGTGGTCTCTTGAGCTGTTCTCTTCTCCAATTGGGTTCCTTCTTCAACGATTTCTTACGCTTCAATAAACATCAGGACTCTGTCTTAAAGTACCAGCGTATCTCTACCGTTCTCGAAAAAGTATGCCATTTGTTCAAACTTCCCATGTTCCTCATTATCAGCTATAGCTTTATCCTCAGTCTGTTCAATCTCTACATCTTGTTTAGCTCTTTACGACCTAATCTTTTCTGGACCAATGTATTTCTTTTCTTTTGTGTCGTATACTATCAGTATCCACTTTTGATGGTGATTCGATCCTGTACTGAATTGAACAAGAAGGTAATTGCAAAACTGATGATAATGAAGTACAACTTTCAAGTTTTCAGGTACAAAGCCGTAACCGAAACTCTCAAGATTCAAGTACACTTACAGTTTGACGCGATACATTGCATGGGTATTTATGATAAGTAGGCGAACGAGGACCGATATTAGTGGGATAGTGGGAAAAAGAGACATACCCCGAGGGACGCAATGGGTCTGTGATCGAGGTTGACTTAAGAAGACATACTTGTGACCGATCTAAGAGGAAGGTATCGCAAGTATTTGATGTTGGTGGTTTGCAACCTAAAGAAACTCAGTACCAGGTAGGACTCCCCATTGATTCCAGAGTCAAGGAGTATAATCGACATTTTTCCGACGTGTCTTAGAACATTTTATTTGTGACAAAGTAAGGAGCGTTGAGGATTTTACGAAGGATTTTGGATTGTAAGAATTAGATATGAGAGGAATTCGATGATTTAGTGGAGCCACAAAGCTCAATTCCGTCAGTCCAGATTGGCCTTATAGTCATGCATATGAGTCGTTAGAAATATACAGGAAGTTTAGAGCGTTTATCTAGTAAGTGCTGGAGTAGTCGAAAATGTCGAGCAGATCATTTTCTTGTCGTTTGAGTCTTGTATGAAGATTTCAAGTGTGTTGTAGGGACGGCAACTAGTAATTATTTTATCATTAACTATGGCTTATCCACAGGGCCAGTCGCTCCAATATCACTAGGACATATTTTCGGGATACGATATACGAGTATTATGCGTTATGTGTTTACAACTCGCAAGATCCAGTACTTGCTTGCAAAATAAAATAAAATTACTGGTTTTTCAATAGATTACCGTTAATATGGACCGCTTAACACATGACAGAAATTCGACATTTCGCAAACAATCACCAACCACAACCAAACGACGAAATTTTTTTGATATTAAAGAAGATAATTGTTTCTTGGGGTTTTAAGGTGTAAAATTTCAATGTCATCAACGCTTGTAAATTAATTTTGTTTATCTCTGACCTAAATTGAATTGATTCTTTTCTTAATTCTAAGCATTAAATTCTAATTTTTACCAGAGATAATTTTGTGAATGGTGGTGCAAAACATTACCGGACAAATAGCTGATAAGTCTATTTGATGATAGAACCGATGTTTTCCTATTAAACATTGACTTCAACACCCGTAAATATTTAATAAATAATGACCTTTCATCAGGTAATGGACGCTGGTTCGCATTAGTCATTTCGGAGAGCTCAGTAGAGTTTGCTAAGGATGGAGAATGTTTTAAGCATTTTCTTATATTGTAACCATAAACTCTTTTACGGGTTGTTGATTATTGCATTAATCGCCTTGGATTTATTCAGCACTATGTATATTTGTCTTGATTTTCCTGCAATACCCGAGGAATACGACTTCTTAGGAGGAGACCGGCTAGTAATTGTAATGTCCCAACTAGAGATGTTTGGTGGTTCTACTAACGTCATTATCTCAACTATCTGGTTCTACTTAAACAAAGATATTATCTCTAATGTTGAGGTTGAATTGAACCTTCTGGGTGTCAACCTTATTAGCGACGCCTCAGTTAGGAGGTGTTCAAAGGAAATGTCTATAGTATTAATATTTTATATCATAGTGGGTGTGTTTTTCTTCCTATTTAACTTTACTACAACTTGGTCAAAAGTAGCCATGTTGACAGCCTACATCATTAACTCCACCTTCATCTATGGCTGCAGTGGGCTTTTGAGCTGTTCGCTTCTCCAATTAGGTTCCTTCTTCAATGACTTCATGCGCTTCAATAAATATGAGGACTCTGTTTTAAGGTACCAGCGTATCTCGAACATATTTGAAAAAATACTCCATTTGTTCAAGCTATCGATGTTCTTCATTATCAGCTGGAGCTTTCTCCTTTGCTTGTGTAATCTCTACATTTTATTTAGCTTTTCATCACCAAATCTTTTCTGGATTGTTGGATTAATTCTCATGTACATCCCATACTTTCAGTATCCAGTGGTGATGGTGATTCGATCCTGCAATGAATTAAAGAAGAAGGTAATAGCACAAAATAAAGTTTTAAAATAACGAATGTACAAAGATTGATTTTATTCTTAACCTTTCCTGGCCATTTTTGGCATACGGAGGATGAGGTTATGTGTAGATTATGTGTTGGATAAAGAAATAATCTTCCAAAGTAAGTGAAATTAGAAGGCTCAATGGAAATTTGGAGCCACGTGCAAAAGAAATTAATATTTCTGCAGATCGTGATGACTAGCGTGGTAGAGCGTTGTCCGTTTTGCATTCCCCTCGTATCTGATTGGAATCTTGGGCGGGTTAAAATGAATTTCGCGGCGGACCCTTGTAATAAATCTCGACCTTTCTACTCAGGTTAGAAAAAGTTAAGCTGCATCCTTAAAACAATGTTCGCGTATGGCAGAAATGGGGAGCCAGGGAGTATCCAATAACAGTAATGTATCTGATCATGTATAAGTTGGGAAATAGTGTAATCAAATGATTCCACGAACTGCTGGTCAATCTATGTCTTCGACCATAAAAACGACCAGTACCAATTCAGTATCACATGTGGAACGGCTACTGCCAGCGAATTGTACGCACAGCAGCAGCTCTAGTCCAAGAACAAAAACACAACATCCAACAGCTTGAGAACCATTCTTCGTCACCTTAATTGGCGCTATACTCCAGGAAGAAACAATAGTAGTCATCGGATGGACCGAGTAGTATCCGTCAGCGCAGATCACGTCCAACAACATCCTTCCTCGGGATCTGATCATCGGTTATCTTTTCCACATTTCCCGTCCATCTTAATCGGCTTATCTTAATGGGTGGCGATGTTGGAGTTACTGTAAAGGGCCATCAGTTTTGAATTAGGGTGTTGACTCCAACCATCAAATACCGTTCCAGAATAGTCCAGCATTCGAATCCACAGGTCAGCACGGGTCTGACCAGTGTTTTATATAAACGCACCAGGGTAGTTCTGAAAACATATGTGCTCTTAATTTTTGTCAGAAGATAGCACATATTTTCAGCCATTATTCGCTGATGGATTTCGAAATTATTATGGTTTCTGGAGTTAACATGGATTGATAGCTAGAGGAATGCTTCGACGATATTAAAATTTGAATGGCCAATATACAAATTACCGTCCCGCTTGCCTCAGCCAATAGGGTTCGTTTCATTAATAGGAAGTACGGTACATTCTTGCGGTTTATTATTGTAGGTCCAGAAAGGCATCGCTCATTGCCTAAAAAGTTTTCCCAGTCACAATAACGCTGACGGGGGCAGTTAACCGAATGGGCTAACGTGTGTGCACAGCACAGCGAGTTGCCCGGCAACCAGATAACCGAAGTTATGAAATTTAAAAAAGTTAAAGATGGGCGTTTCTGCTACGTAAATGAACGTAATGAAAAACATAAATGAACTGTTCCTTGACCAAAAACAACAGTTCTAAAGAACTATTAAAAAAAAAAAAAATAGTTCATGGAACAACGCAACGATTCATAGAGTAATAACTTTTTCTTTAATAACAAGTCTGGAAATGAATGAATCGTTTTATGTATGAAGTTTGGCATTGTTCCAGCTTGGAATTGATAACAATTTTTCAATCATAACATTAATCGTCTTGTAATCGTTCTGGGCTGTATACGTTACATTTTTTAATTTTTCTCCGCTCATAAACGGACACAAATTTTGTGCGCGAATAATAGTGATATATATTTAATAGATATGTTTTAACTCGTAAAACAGATAGAACAATCCAAATTTTTAACAAATAAAAATATGTGTGAAGTTTACACATCTTTGACATTAAGGAAGGAATCGAGGCCAAGACAAGCTGGTTAAATTTTAATAGAAATAAACACAATCATAAATAAGACTTTTTATAAACTCAATTTAATTTAAAATTTGTAAAAATTAATTTAAATGTACTGAACATTACACGAAATTCAAGTAACGGCAGTAACTGTCATGGAATCGACCAAACGATAAGGTATAAGTTAACTTTTTGAATAAAACCTAAAATTTTTGACCCCACAATAATATTGTATTAACCTAATATCCACTCCGTACAATGAATATCTTTCATATTTCACAGTCCTTATCTTGTTAAAAAAATTACAAAAATCTTGGAATTGGGGAGTTTTCAAACTGGGCATACTTTGTCTATTTAATTATATACTAAAAACTCGTAAATACTCATTTGCTTTCTACTTCAATCGTAAGATAATTCGATCACGAAATCGATAAAAGCCGTTTGGCGTGAACTACACCCCCAAATTTTCAAAATAACGAGGTTATATAGAACAAACGGCCCAATATTTTTGTATGTCGCCCTTTTTTCTCGATTTGTTAATATTGAAAAATCGATATGAATGTAATCTTAAATAACAAGTCATATGTTCCTATGGACCACTTATGATTATTTGTATTATATGCGGTGTTTTCATTTCAAATATTGCATAAATAGTGACTTAGACATGCGTAAATATATAATGAAATCTTTCATTAGGGAATTGACGCTGGTTCGCAATAGGTATTTTAAAGTCTTGTAGGCAGAGTTCACAGTCTGGTTTGTTCATAATGGAGAATGTCTTCAGCTACCTCTCCGTTTGCTACCACAGGCTCCCCTACAGGTTGTTAATCCTAGGATTAGTCGCCGTGGATTTGCTCTGCACGGTGTATGTAATCTGTGAGCTTCCTCCATTCACGGGGGGATACAACTTCTTAACGGACGACCATGTAATAGTTGCAATGAGACGATTAAGATTGTATGGTGGTTTCAGTAATATGTTTATCTCAACAATTTGGTTCCACTTCAACAAAGATATTATCAGTAATGTCGAGGTTGAATTAAACCTTCTGGGTGTCAACCTTATAAGCGGTGCTGCAGTTAGGAGGTGTTTAAACGAAATTTCAATAGCTTTTCTATTTTATATCTCAACCAGTTTGTTTTACTTCTTATCAATCTGGACATTTTGGACACAACTGACGATATTGATAATCTACTTCATCAACTCTTCCTTTGTCTTTGGCTGTTGTGGCCTTTTGAGCTGTTCGCTCCTCCAATTGGGTTCCTTCTTCAACGATTTCTTGCGATTCAATAAACATGAGGATTCTGTTTTAAGATGTCAACGTATCTCAACGATTTTCGAAAAAGTATGCCATTTGTTCAAACTTCCCATGTTCCTCATTATCAGCTATAGCTTTATCCACAGTCTGTTTAATCTGTATATCTTGTTTAGCTCTTTACGACCTAATCTTTTCTGGACCAATGTATTTCTTTTCTTTTCTGTCGTATACTACCAGTATCCAGTTCTGATGGTGATTCGATCCTGTACTGAATTGGACAAGAAGGTAATTGCAAAAATCATGACAATGAAGTACAATTTTCAAGTTTTCAGGTACAATGTCGTAACCGAAACCCACAAGATTCAAGTACAGTTACAGTTTGACGCGATACATTGCATGGGTATTTATGATAAGTAGGCGAACGAGAACCGATATTAGTGGGGTAGTGGGAAAAAGAGACATACCCCGAGGGACGCAATGGGTCTGTGTTCGAGGTTGACTTAAGAAGAAATACTTGTGACCGATCTAAGAGGAAGGTATCGCAAGTATTTGCTGTTGGTGGTTTGCAACCTGAAGAAACTCAATAACAGCTAGCACTCCACACCCACCTGGATTGATTCCAGTGTAAAGGAGTATAATAGACATTTTTCCGACGTCTCTTAGAACATGTCTTCGGTTTTGGAGAATATATTTCCACCTTTTAATCGTTCGACTGATTATTATCATTGACGTATTTTAGTTCCCTAAATGAATCAAAAACTTCAAATTTCAAGAAGTATTTGAATTTTTTCTCGAAAAAAATTAGGATATCCTGACAAAAGTAAATTTCTTTCTACATTTAAGAAGCTGTGTACTAAGGCCTGACATTAGACTCACGAATTTGACTAAAAGCAAACAAAAGACTCAGAAATGTAGAATATAAATGTTCAGAGTATAGATATAATAAAATTAATTTTGTAATACTAAGAAATATTGATGAACAAAACTTTTATTTTTGTTGTCCTCCCTTACTCGCATTTTAGACTACAAGACATTTTTCTCTAGCTAGGAGAGTTACCGAGACATTAATGTCAGAGTTAAGAGCAAGTATTGGGTTGGAAAATAAGTCTTTTCGGTTTTATAGGTTGAAATAAAATTCAATGTATTATAAACATAAAATTTATTTTAATTCACAATGTATTGACTATTATTTAATATGACTTTGCCCCATCTTTCCACTAACTGCATAATGTCGTGTTCATAGAATGTCTGGAGTTTATTATTGTTGTACAATTGATCCAAGTGGTTTTTGATGTCCTCTTCCTTTTGGAGTTTCTTTCCATTCATGGAGCTCTGCAGAGACCGGTATAAGTCGTAGTCACTTGTAGCTAGGTCTGGTGAATAGAGAGGGTGGGACAAAAGGTCCCGTCCTAGCCTCAGTAACTTATTGCGAGTGATCAATGAGGTGTGGGGGCTAATTTAGCAAAACAAATTTTGAGAGGTGCGTTTGGTGACGGCATCATTCTCATAATAATAATAACCTTTATTTGTGCATACAATGAAAAAACAATGGATAAAAATATACAAAATCTCTTATATGTACAAAATCAACTTACTTGAGGTTTTGAGTCCGATTTTTTTTTTTTTTTTTTTTTTATATTTAACTTTCTGGTAACCACACTAGGTAATGAACCTGACCCATCCTTTCCTCTCCAATGCTATTCTCTTCCAGGCTGCTCCCCCGCAGGTCTTCTTCATCTGCTTGTCCCAGTCTGTCGGCGGGCGTCCTCTCTTCCTCACGTGCTCTCTTGGATACCAATCTATAAACTGCCTGGTCCATGTTAATTCATTCCTACTGATTACATGTCCGGTCCAGGTCCACTTCCTGATGAGCACTTTTTCCACAATATCTGGAAGGTCAATCTTAGCTCTGATCCATTTGTTTGTTTTTCTATCCCTTCGAGTTATCCCCAGAAGATATCGCTCCATTCCTCTGACGGTTATCCTCAATTTGTGGTAAGTCTTCTGGTCAATTGCCCATGTTTCACAACCATATGTCATGACAGGAAGTACTGTGCTCATCCAAAGTTTTCTCTTGGCCTCTGAGCTCACCGAGGATCTACATATATCCTTAAATTTGAAGAGTGCGCGCCATCCCTATCATTCTCATAAACACTGCAAATTTTTCTATGAGCTTCTGCAACAGCTTACCTTTTTTAAAATAATACCAAAAAATATACCGATAATGAATATTTTCTTCCGTATTCTAAACTAGTTTTAACAAGAGCTAACAGATATAGTTGTTGACATATTACAAACAGAATGAACAATCCATCTGAGGGATTAATTCACCAGATAAGCAGTGTCTTACAGTGATATAAAAATAAACAGAAAAACTGAAAGGACATATTTGCCAACCCAATAAATCCAGAGTTGCTTGTCGCGCTGACTCTATACGCTAATAGTTCAGAAATATCTATAAAAATAACGGTACGGCTTATCGTAGCAAAAGCACAGCATCCTATAGCTTGAAAACTATTGCAGAAGTTTAGAGGAGAGACCGTCTTGCCTAGAAGTACAGAATACACCGAATCTTCTCAGTATGTAACAAGTGATAAAAAATCGTCTTAAGATCCAGATAATAAATTTTTATACTTTTTTGCAAAATGAATATAAAATGACTAGCCCATTATTAGCTTACTATCCCTTTGGACCACTTACGTTTATTTGACGACAGGAGCAGTGTTTTCATTTTAAATAATCGGTAAATATTTATTGATCAAAACCTTCCATTAGGAAATGGACTTTACTCCGCATTAGACATTTCTGGGTACAGTCTAGTTTGTTCAGGATGAGGAACTGCTTAGGCTTTCTCTTAGCTTGTTATCATAACCTCTTCTATAGGTCATTGATCATAATACTAGGCGGCTTGGATTTGTTCGGAACTGTGTATGTTTGTCTCGATCTTCCACCGTTGCCAGATGAATACAACTTCTTAACCGGAGACATTGTGTTGGTTATAATGACACGGATACAGCTTTATGGTAGTTTTAATAATACCATTATCTCAATTATTTGGTTCTACTTCAACAAAAATATAACTTTTAATGCTGAGGTTGAATTAAATCTACTAGGGGTCAACGTTACTAGCAATTCCTCTGTTAGGAAGTGTTCAAACGAAATGTTAACAGTTTTCCTATTTTGTATGGCAATTAGTTTGTTGTTCTTAGCCTTTAATTGGACATCTTGGTCACAAATAGCCCTGTTGACAACCTACATTATCAACTCTTCCTTTATCTTTGGTTGCAGTGGGCTTTTGAGCTGTTCGCTATTTCAATTAGCTTCCTTCTACAATGACATCATGTGCTTTAATACATATGAGGAGTCTGTTTCAAGGTGTGAACGTATTTCCAGCATTTTCGACAAAATATGCCATCTGTTCAAGTTACCCATGTTCCTTATTATCAGCTGGAGCTTTTTACTTACTATGTGTAATCTCTACATATTATTTAACTCTTTAGAGCCTAATGTTTCCTGGATCAATGTATTTATTTTCTTTTGCATCTTATACTACCAGTATCCAGTTTTGATGGTGATTCGATCATGTAATGAACTGAACAAGAAGGTAATTGCAAAATGGAGAAAATTAAGTACAATTTTCAAATTTTTCAGACACATAGACAAACCGAATCTCTCAAGGTTCAAGGATAATTACAGTTCTGTCTCGATAATTTTGCTCCCACTACGGATGGTAGGGGAAGCTTTCTATTCGTGCGAGAGTTTAAACAATTTGTGAGCTCAGAACTGAAAATTTTCAATCGCGTTTTACGTTTCAGACATCAAGGATCAAATTTGGTTCGGTGTCTGTAGTCAAATCGATGTAACGGGCATATCACCTACTACCGTTAATCCGATTTTCATGAAATTTTCAGAGATTGTGCGGGCTGGCGTCTAGACAGCGCCATATCAATTCAGTATCCGGGTTTCAGTATGGTCTTGTATATTAATAGTTTATTTTCCATTTGAGAGTTTAGATTTTCTGTTAAGTAGCCTGCCTGTATAACTGACCAAATCACATGTTTATTATTAAATATTTAAGCTTATCGAAACCTAAATAAGTAATGCAATCCTAAGCAGATAATTAATTATAAAAATCTAGTTTCAAAGTATTTTTTTATTTCTTAATGATATTTACAACTGTATTAAATAAATACATCTAGTAAATTTGAACATGTGGATATAATGACATGAAAACACTTGCTGAGTATTATCTTGTAGATAAGTATTTTATTTTCAATAGAAAGTTTAGATTTTCTATTTAGTAGTCTTTTAAGTGTAGTATGAGGGTTCTACGTTAGTCGTCTTTCTAAGAAAAAGCCGAGATACCGGACTGTAGATTTTTTTTAGATTTACAACTGTATAAATTTGAAAATACATCCATGAAATGTGCCCAACCATTGGTAGCACTGTAAGTACATATCTATATAAGTAGATCACGAGGCCATCTTCTTTTCAGAAGCCTTGGAGGGTTGTCAGGTATCGAAGAGGGAGCAAGTTTTGAAACAAGAGGGTTCGGATGGTTTTGCAGTTTGTTATGGAAGGACAGGTATCTGGATTGGGCCAAATGGAAACATATGGAACATTAAGGTCTTTATGGATGATTTGATTTGTGAAAAAGTAAGGAGCGTTGAGGATTTTACGAAGGATTTTGGATTGTATGGATTGGATACGAGAGGAATTCGATAGTTTAGTAGAGCCCCAAAGCCCAACTCCGTAAGTCCAGACTGGCCTTATTATAGTCATCTTTATGAGTCTTTAGTAATTTATAGAAAGTTTAGAGCGTTTATCTAATAAGTGCTGGAGTAGCCGAAAAGGTCGAGCGGTTTCTTGTCGTTTCAGTCTTGTATGAGGATTCTAAGTGCGTCGTCGGGACGCGAACTAGTAATTACTTTATCATTAGCTGTGGTTTGCCCGGTTGGCCACAGAAAATAATCGGCTTTTGCTGGTTTGTTGGTGTTTTTTACGTGTAATAGCTCAAGATCATCAACGCCTGTAAATTAAATTTGCTTATCTCTGACCTAAATTGGATTGATTATTTTCTTAATTCTAAGAATTAAATTCTAATTTTTACCAGAGATAAAAGAGCTGTCCATTTTGTGAATGGTGGTGCAAAAATTACCGGACGAATAGTTGTTAAGTCTATTTGATGATAGAACCGATGTTTTCCTTTTAAATATTGAGTAAATAGTGACTTCGACAAAGGTAAATATTTAATGAACAATGACCTTTCATTAGGTAATGGACGCTGGTTCCGCATTAGGCATTTCGGAGAGCTCAGTAGAGTTTGCTAAGGATGGAGAATGTTTTCAGCATTTTCTTATATTGTAACCATAAACTCTTTTACAGGTTGTTGATTATTGCATTAATCGCCTTGGATT